CTCTGTAAACAATTTGACATTTCAGTTATTTGAGACCGTTGTGATCTTGCGGGAACTTTTTCCAATTACCAAGGAAAGGTCAACAAAGTTGTAATCTAAAATTCTTCTCATCCAGGATTAGAAATGACATTTATTTCTCCTTGGGAAAGCTGATTGAACATTAAAGGTGTCAGGATTGCTCCAAAAGGATGGAACATTTCAGCTCTTGAGGCAATAATGATACTAGACAGTAAGTGTCAAATGTGGGGACAGGGTAATAGGGTTCAGTGCAATGCTGAAGCAATAAATATTATAGATCGTTATTAACAAATTCAGGGAAAATTTGTCCCCGAAGTACCCTTTCAAGTGTGAGACATTTCAAAAATGTAAGTGTTAAATACCGGGGAGACCTCTTCTACCACAGAGATATGTATAAAGGAGCTATCAGTAAGGTTTTCGATCATCCTGGGATAGAAAAACAAACAACATTTTTCCTTAAAAAGGAAACTAGGGTTTTCTAGTATCTTCGGAAGACTTTGATTAGAACCATGTTGGTTAGAACCAAGAACCCCTAATACTCCCAGGAAAAAGGAACCAGCACAGGCTGTCACTTGGGTGGATTCAAATCAAATGTGACTTGAAGCAAGAAGTCTAAATGAGGTGTTGAATGATGGCGCCTACTCTCCCTAGGAATAGAGACCCCAAAGCATTCTTATCATCAGTGCAGTGGGTTAACATTTTGAAGGACAGACAATTCAAATATATTTGGAGGGACTGATTTCACCCAGTCTATTTTCACTTCCTCGATGAATCAGCCACAGTGCTATAAACAAACTCAACATAATCAATATGAAAGAAGCAAAATGGCAAATTGACTTTGATTGGCCCATTAAGTCATAAGACCTTCCTACCTGAAAGCAAACTGTATCCGGTCATCAATATCCCTCAAACTGAGCTTTTAAATATAAACGGAACAATTAAACCAAGAAATCTGTTGGCATTAAATGCTTACTGTAAACTCGGTCAAAATTGGTTTGGAAGCATTTGACTGACTTGATTCTTGTGGTATTTTTGGTTATCATATAAGCACTGGGACTCCTAGCCAGAGATAATGGGAAACTAATCCGTCTAAAAGTTCAGCGACTCATGTCAGGAAGCCCAGAGTGGATGGAGGGGGCGGCTTAGCTAATGAGGCTTTAACAGATTGAGTTCAAGAGGATAAGATGTAAACAAACACTGAGAATGTTCTGCCACAAACCCATCATGTCCAGATGGTAGCCATTATGTATTTCAATCGCTCACGTTTCATTTGCCATTAAAGGTGAGAGCGAAATATATGTGGCTTACATGCACCATGTGATTATAGCATCAGAATTCCGACATGGTTTTTCCTTCTGCTGCTGTGGTTGTTGGTTCTTGCAGCAACAACCAATAGTGCAGTTGCTGCCAATGTTGCTTTAGGTGTTCTTATGACAGTGCTACTGTGACTGATGCAATCTCTGCTGCTGTTGAAGTTGCTGCTGTAACTATTGCTGTTTTAGCCGCAGTTGCTATCACAGTACCTATGACAGCGGCTGAACACTTTGCAACTAACAGTACTTGCTGTAACGGTCACAGCTGCAGCAGCTGCCAAAACTTGCTGCTCTTGCTCTACGATTGCAACCAACTGTGATGTTTTCCACTGTGTCTGACTCAACCAACAAAAAAATTGGCCAATAAATTGTTTGAAAACATTTGAACCAAGATGTGGACCAAGATGGAGGGCTGTAGAGAAAGTTTCAGGTCCAGAGTTTGATGATGAAGTATGGTCCAGGATATTGCTTTAGGTCAGAGCTACACATTCCTGGTCAGTTTCTTAGTGGCTGCTCATGAATACCAAATGGATCAGAGGACAGTCATGAAGGCTTGATATACTGGTACATGTCTTCTTTCATTCAATAATTCTGTCTACAACGGCCTCCTGTACTGCCAGACAATATGACAACCTATCTACCACCAGAAGAGGTCAACCAGTCAAGTTAAAAGCTCCCCAAGCAACAATATGCCGACTCCCCACCCCTCCCCTCAAAACATGTCTCCAAATGGATTTTTACCACTTGTTTAATTGGCCCAGCAGGTGTATTTTGATACCTGAAACCCAAATAAACATCCCCATGGAGGTCCATGGGTATGAAGCAACAACTCTCCCCCTTGACCTACATAGACAACCCCATGATAAAGATGAATCTAAACAAAAGATGTGGTCATGCCAGTAGATGTCGAAATTTAAGGATAACAGTTTTCTTATAGTAGACTTGCCTCGTGCCTATGAAGTGGACTTTTGTTCAGCCGCTGACTAAATGGAACTACCAGTGAAATGGCGGAAAATGAGTAGGCCAACCAAAAAAAGGAACCAAAAAAAGCACTTCTGGATGAGGATTGTGCCGTCCTTCTATCCATCTAAAGTTAATCGATGTCCGGTGGATCCCCTTGGCAGGGCATCCCTCAGTATGCCCATCAACCCTCTCCCCCCCCCCGTCCCATTTCCTGAAAGCTAGATCTGTCCCAGTTTGCGCATAATAATCAGTAAAGCTTCCGTGAGTACCTGTTGTCATCCTAGAATTACAGCCAGCGACAAGAATGTAAGCTAGTCCATGTTTGTACAAAAGGTGCATTTGAAGCTATGGGTTCAAATATCTACATGTGCCGTTTTGAAATGGAAGTAACATCAAACCTGCTCTAAGATTCCTAGTAGTGAAAGGTTGAGATTTTGGTCTGTCCAAAAGTTTATCTGTCTGTCTTTCAAGGACTTCCCCACTCCTTCCTATTCCACCTGACCACACCCCTCCCCCACAACTAAAAGCAGTGCACAGAGACTGTCAGTATATACTCTGTGTGGTGCCTGCATTCAGACACTTGGCAATATGCCAACCAGACTGCAAGGCATCTACTCCATTCGGAGGTCTCACCAATTCCTACCTCACAGAAGCATCATTAAAAACAAACAAACAAGACATGTCAAGATTTCACATTTCACATAGTCTGCCTCAGGGCATTTAGGAGGGGAGAAATTAATCTTTAGGTAGGGGTGGTTGGTGTACCTCTACGGGATATCATGTTCAACAGTGCACGTACAACTGATTTTGGAAAAAGAACAGACTAAGGAACATAGCAAGGTTGTCAAAAATGGATGGAAGAAAAAAAATAGTACTCACTCTTAAAATCAGATCCAACACTGGGCATCAATTCTTCCAGGAATATAAATTTTTGTGGTGGGTGTTGTTAATCATTTTGAATGGTGATTAATTTCTCGGGAATTTTCTATCTGGGGGTGATTCCTGTTATTCTTCTGTATAAATTTCTGGTGGTTACAGAAACCTCCTAGGGAGGCGCTCGGATAGAATATCTAAAGATTAACTTGCAGAGTTACAGAGAAAGTAATCACACCACACATGCCCTTGAAGTGCAGCTATGAGAAATAGCAACATATTTCCAACCCATCTCATTCCATGGTTCAATTCATCTACCAGTCAACGCCAATAATTCATACCAGCACAGGGACACCAATCTCACGTCACAGTCTGGTAACTAGTTCAAATTTTCAGAGAATGCTTTGAGGGTTAGAATACCGCATCCCCCGCTGGGTAAAGATTTGATGTTGGCATAACGAAGGATGACGTCACAGCAACGCTGCCAGATGATGACAGATAAACGAATGCATCCTGAATAACACCAGAGTAGTAGTGGTGGCTGAGTACTTGCAGCTACATGGGAGCAGCATTTGTGGCACTCTGCAGGATTTATTAAGGATTTGAGTTCGCTTCTTTGCTGCATGGAGTTTTTGGATAGGAATTCTGGAATCCTCAAGGAATGCTTGCAGTAATCGGTTGTCAAATAACTTTAACTATAAATGACCTCTATTCATTTCACCTATTCACATAAAGCATTCCACAAAGGTATCTTTTACATTTTGTGCTCTACTCTATTTACCAGATAGATCAAGATCATTTCATGAAGTCACTTTTCAGCACAAATTGTCTTTCCGTTTCAATCCAAAATGTTTCAAGGTACTTCATTCCAACAAACTTTCACATGAAAACAAATAAAAAAATTAGTGAAAGCACAAATCTGCTTTGACTGTTTTCTGTATACTTCTTTGTCTTAGTTCATTCACAGTTAATGAGAATATCCTGTGTTTTAGGGGAACATTCCTGAGGCTAAGTGTGCAATGAAGCGTGTATTATTTGACCAAGTGGTGGAAAGAAATGCCCCACACTGGTCCAAACATGTCAAGTTCCCAGAAAACCTCCCCTGCAGGGTTGGACAAGGGGCTCGCAGAAATTACTCTGAAAGACGAGCTTTGACCCAGTCTTCGCTTTCCTTGACTGTGTTTTTCATGTTTAATTTGAGGGTGTGGAAACAGTGCTGGTCAATCCAGGTACTATCAAAATAAACTGCAAATGAAACTCTAGGCACCAGGCAAAGCAAGCAGCTGGAAACCAGTCACAAGTCCCATAGATCTCATACTCTTCATAGCACATTGGCTGGTAACCTGCTCTCACTCAACATGCCTTTACTTCACCAAGCAAATTCTTTTTTAGCACAGCATTTCCAGGATAATTAGTTCCTGTCTCCCTGAATGCGATTGCCTGAGTTTCCTACATGGCAAACAGCATTTTTTTCAATCTTCCCAGACACAAACAGACTGTTTATGCCGCTGGCTCTCCACTTCAAACAGGTAAACTTCTCAGTCACCAGGAGTGTTTAGCATCTCTGTGGGCATATCTGAGTGTATTCCCAACCATGTTGACAAAACCATCAGTGCTGGCAAGCAGTGCCCAAACCTCTGAAATACAAGTACCTTGGAGGGATGAGATTTGCACAGACTACCAATACTGTGGGGTAGGCTTAAAATCGCCCAGATAGTGCTGCCAAGGTATCAAGCTAAGCCAAGAAATTGTGGTAAACTGTCCTGCTCAAGGACACTAGTGACATGACCTTTCAGCTTAGGAAATCTGCTTTGCAATTTCAATATGCCTCACCTAGTGATGAGTACGGCATTGTCATGCTTGTGGATGTTGCCACTGTCTTCACCTGATGCGGAGATATTTTCTGGAGGACGGAGATTTCTTTGCCACTGACAGAAACTCTGCAAGGACATGTCAGCATGGTGACCCAGGGTCAAGTCTTTCTGAGTGGCAAAAGAATAACAGCAGGTGTTAGACTTAACTGAAGACAGGAGTCTGAAGATGGAGAGTGGGTCTTTGAAGAAGGGGCAGGCTCTGCAAAAAAGTCTGTCTGACCCCTTCCCCCCACAAAAAATGGAAGTTTACCTTTTTTTAACGATAAAACTCCAAATTTACCAACGTGAATTTGCTCATAAATTGTCTTTCACCCTGACTTTAACTAGGAGAAAACTGCTCACAAGATGATGTTTTCTGTCTGTGGACTGAAATCTCACTACTTTCCATTATTCAAATGATTTTCTTTCAGGAGGGGATAATGCCTAGTTTGTGGGAAGGACCTGAATTCATATCCAACCATCCTTCTCCTTTAGGAGAGCTTGCTTTGACTCACCTGATCTTGTAGGACCAAAATAATCCTTGAGATGACAATGTTGATGTTATTACCCACGCTGGCGTCATGATAGAGATCAGCAACCTAACCTCCAAAAAAGAGACAGAGAGCCACGGGTAAATAAGAGAAAAACGACGATATAAGCCAACAGAGTATCTCCATATACGCATTGCGTTAACCAGCAATAACCCTGGTATGGATGCCTATGATAAACACTACATCACTCACTGAGGATTTAAGGATTTGCCAGGCAGAACCGTAATGATAAAAAGATCCCTTCTTGTGTAATTGTATAATACAGGATCATAGATTTCCTGAGTACATCAGGGGGTGAAATGTCACAGACAACCATTAGTGGAGGCTTCCTTGATAAAACAAAAGCTTTGGCAAACCATCAATTGCTACACAAGTGCTTCAGTTGAACAGTGAACTTGAAGTATGATGTATTTCTTTCTCTCTACGAGTTTTGACCAAAAGGTAAATTTGGTCAAGATTCAAATGCACACTGTGCAGAAAATGTTGAGTCTTTGGTCCTGTAAAGGAAACTGTTTATGTATAACAGTCAGCCAAATATAACCTTGAATTTTATATGAAGCACATGTTTGAAAAACCACATCGGAAAAAGGGGACATTACTATCGACCTTGTGCCTATTGAATACAAAATATATTACGAAGTGACAACATACGACATAAACAGTTCCTGGATGGAGTCTGTTTCATAGGGTGGCCCATGAACCAAATTGGGTATGTCATTTGTAGAGTAACAACACAGTTGGACATGAGTTTATGGTTAAAAGTCCAGTGTAGGATGATTTTAAGTGTGTGTAGTGCATTGCTAAATAGCAAAAAGGCCAAGGTTTTGTTATACATGTATACACTGGCAAGACATTTACTGGATGTGTTCATGGGGACTGTCATCTTCACCTAACTACTGTAAACAGAACGCCTGAGAAAAGGAAAAGACCATAACACCTTGTAATACCTGTCTACATAAATCATCAAGCCAATATCAATTGCCTTATTTTTGTACTTATAGATTTTTGGCAGAACAATGGGTTGGGAGGTGAAAACCAAAATTTGATAAAACGGTCCAGAAAATAACTCATGAAAGAGCAAGTAATATCTCTTACTTCACAATGTTTAAGAATAATTTTATTTTTCTCTATGTCAAAATTGTTGGATCTCTGTGATGGCAAATAGCATACCGGCAGTTAGATCACTTTGCTTTGTTGATACTAGTTCCCAATTTAAATGAGTCTTTTAAATTTCTGAATTGGTCAAGGGCCTTGGCAAGCACATGGGAAAGGATAACTAGGCACTCTCCCTGAAAAAATGGTGTCAAGATGATGAAAAGCGTGTTGTGAAAGCTTTCAAGAGGAAGAGCCATGATGACGCAGGTACAACTCCCGGTATTCACAGAAATGCTCTTCAGCTCTGAAGGCAGGGATTTAAGAGTGGCACAGGCCAGGCCTGTTTTTCTGATCTGTGACAATAACGTCACATGGGTTGCAACGTTTGACGGTCATCTACCAGTACCAGAGAGTATCATGCATTTCATTTGTTTGAGTGGAGCCTGAGGGTTTCTATCGAAAAATAAAGGACAGTATTGGCCTGTTGTGCTGTTGTCCTTGAGAAAAAATTGGTCAGGGAGGAAAAAGTAGACTCGAGCTTGTACACTTCACCCCTGAAAAGAGCACAACCTGTTGGTTCATTTTGAAATGGTTCAGGAGTACATTCCTTTTTTCATTTTCAATGGAGGAAACTGTTGGCATGAATTCAAACAAGTGTCTCTAAAAATGTTGAAATGTTTTTGGCCAATGACTAAAGAGTTTCTAACTGAAACAAACTTGAAATAAATTGCAATTTAATCTTTGAAGTCATTCACATCTTCAAGCCCCACAAGCATTGTTTTTGTCTTGTGTAAACATCACAGCCCTCCAATCTGACATGTTAATGGCACAAACGGCTTGGTAAGGTGACAAAAACAATGCAATGGAGGCATGTTGGCCACTTGATGCCAATGTGTGCCAAATCAGTGTTTTCAAGAGCCCAAGTGTGAGATGACACTGCTGATATCGACCGACCGACAGATGTCACAATGACACAAAAGAGGGTTTTTATTCTTTTTATTAAGGGTGTGGATAGGATTTCAGTTTTGATGAGCACTTTACACAAATCCAACTTTGCTGGAATTAATACTTGTCCATTCTATTTGTCAAAAAGTGAAGTTTTTTAGGGTGTACACTTGCAGAAAACAAAGATTTCTCTACACCTGTGGAAAAAAATTTAAGCCCTAAATTTTAAACCTGCTCCAATTTTCTTTATCCTACATTGGATTTTTTCAATCTCATGCTACAGCTGTTTTCAAGGAATTCATTCATGCACTGAATATCAATCTGCCCACCATTTGATCCACTTTACCAACCACAAGATATCCCAAGACCCAGCATAAAGAGACAAGCGAGTGCATGGACAAAGTGGCATTTAAAGATGTGAGACTATGGCCATGTCTTTGATCATATCTGACTAGAAATGGGTCAGTGTTATTTGAATATCCAAGCCAAGGCCTGGAGGCTCTGGAAGTTGTTATTATTCCTGTATCTGATACAGACGGTGGGAACATGCAAGGGGAAGTGATGTGAACTTTGGAAGAAACACATTTTAAACAGGCTTTTGGATTGCTGCTAAACTATTAATAATAGAAATAGGGCAGGAACAAGTTAGTGTCCCCATTTTGACTGTAGTACACAAAAGAATAAAAATCTGGAAAAGAATCATTTAACCACAGCTTGGCACCAAACATTCTGAATAGTAGCTCTCCCAGGCTGAAACTTGCTGTATAATATGTAAGTGGAACATGACCACTGTTATGAGTAGTTCCAAATGTCGAAGAGAAATGTTTCTCTTTAGTCATACATACAGCGTATACATGTACATTATAGCGTAGCCACAAACCCCAGCCTATTGTACTGGTACCTTCTAGGTGCACATTACACAATGGCAACATGTCACGTACGTACATGTACCTGGGCAACTTTTCAGGCTCAGTTTCAACAAAGAATCAGACTATTTCTGACTTGGACAAAGCCGCAACAATTTGTCGGAGCTGATCTCAAAATTTACCACCAGAGTGTTATCACACATTTATTAAACAGAAATTTTCACTTTGAACACCAAATCAGCTGACCCTTGTGAGGTCCAAGTACTTGGAGTGATCATGAATAATACAAATCTAACCCTCTGGTCAATCACAAGGAAACAACACTAAAATGTGACTTGTGACCAGACTCTCGGTATGCAAGTAATTGCTCAATGTTTCAAGTGATGATGATAAGGTAGCGTTATTCATATCCTAGAACTTTTCACCATAAGTCTTAGTCTGTCAGTTTGGATCGGCCTACGTGACGTTTCTCTTTGACATCACTGGAACTGACAGGTTTAACAATGGGCGGATGCTTACCACATTCCCCTTGCGTATTCTGCAGCTGCAGTGCTAGTAATCCTGGGGACATTTACGTAGCTGGAGTTCTAAATCTGGGACAAAGTTGGTCTCTTTTGTGCTTTAACGCCCTGACATTAAAACTGTTTTACCATGTGCAACTCAGCGGGTGCGTGGTTACTTTGTTTGGGATCACTGCTAATACATGTACTTTTGGGAGAAGTAATTCTCAGAACCTGTCCCACATTTAATTTGAACTTTTGAACTGCCAATCATTAAATACAAATTCAAATCACATTTCACCCCCTACATTGTAAATCTTATTTTTCTGCTTCCTATTTCCTTTCACGGTAAAACTATGGAGCTGATTTTCATTCCTTTTGGAACATTTCAAAATTTCTCGAGATTTTCTTGCCAAAACTGCAATCACTACAAGATGAAAACACTTCATGCTCACTCCCACTGAGAAAAACATGTAACCAGCTGATGACTAGGACAACTCCCCAAACTTACAATATTCATGAGTGTAAGGAGGTAGGACTCAATGTAGTCTTCATGGTAACTATTCATCAGCTTATCAGCTACCACCAGGGTCTCTACGTTGAGTTCTGATGATGTGCTGCTGACCTCTCGTCTCCTCCTCGTCCTCTTGTGATGTTGGTGGTGATGATGGTGGTGAGTTTGGTGGCGAGTTTGATGATGATGGTGTTTCTTCATCACTTGCTCGGCAAATGAAAAGTCACTGTTGGTCATCCACCATGTTTTTTTAACTTCATCTGAATCTGCGTACAAAGAAAAAACGTCTGATGATTACTGACCTGCCTTCACCCCGTCTCAATTTAGTTCAAGACATTTGAAATCCCTTGTATTATTTCATTTCTTGACAGTTTATCGTGACTGCTTGTTGCATGAAAGCCTGAAGATCTTCATAACTTGTGAGCTATGTACTTCTATACGTGCAAGTGGCATCACGGTCAAATTCATTAAATCCCGTTATAGGACTTCTCCCCAACAGTGTGTGAACAATTACAGCAAAACTGGAGGATTTGAACTGTCAGAGTTCATCAGTGCATCACATTTGATTACTTGAATTTTCCTGGTCTTTCCCTGTGATTGGGCCCATCAGTGAGTAATAAACATACTGTTGACATTTGGGAATGAAAGACCAACAAAAGCTCTTAAAACTAAGGCCAGTATTCAAGACTTATTATTAAGACTTATTATTAAGTGCAACATTTGACCTTCACCTTTATTGTATGAGTTAATGGAACCTTGCTATTCACAAGATTTGTGATTCACCTAATCACAGCTCAGCAGTCACCCTTCACTGTTTCTTTATGTGAATACATGAATTAATCACTGTGGTGTCAAATGCCCTCAAGATGCCCCATGAGAGCATCTGATAACATCATTGGTAGTGTCAACTGACGTACCACATGAGATATCATGTGAACATCTTTAAGAAATACTAATCATTATTAGCTTCCGATGACCTTTGCCACCACTCATTGCCAATGACCTCTACTACTGGTGGGTCAAGATCCATGCCTTTTCTTCCCCCCCCCCTTTTTTTCCAAGGGTAAGGTGGGGGCAGACCCTGAGGGGTTCTTCTTACTCTGTATGAGTCACTCTGATGCTAGACTGGGGGATTACTGCACAGGAAATTTACTGAAGGTCGCAAGCAACAGACCGAAAAGAAACTTAACCACTGTGCTGAAGCTGGACAAGTGTTAAAGAGGCTCCCAAGCTTAAAGGTATTTCCAAAGGTGCCTCCTGCTACAAACACCTTTGCCATTGTTATTCAATGTGAGTACTGCTTGGCTTCAATCCTCATGGAATCAAACTCTGAACTGCACCAGAGCAAGCTGTCTTAAAACGAACATGCTCAACAAACCCTCGAGGCAAAGGACATAGGACACAGTGACGAAAAGGTGAAAAATGTCATCACCGACAACATCGTAGAAACTCTAAGGAAAAGTCTGCGTAGAATCCTCCAGAAAATATCTTCTGATGGTTTCTCTTTAGTTCACTTAAGCCTGACAGACTTAACAACCAGGGAGGCCAGAATATGGCAAACCGCATATATGCCAAATATTTACAAACTTTCCAGGTAGAAACTTACAAAGTAACTTTTCAGCACCACTGCACAGTGCCAAAAATAGAGTGAACTTTTCAGCACTCCCAACGCCCCAAAAAACCTGGCTTTGCTTTATTTGATTTACCCCACAGAGTTGGAGAGCCCGTCCATAAAAAAAGTAAGCAAACTTCCTGAATGAATTAGTATTCACCTAGATTCCCATTCTGATGCCAAACCAAGAATCATATAAATGTACATGTATCCCCATTTTCGGTGCCTATTCAACAATGAAATTTTGATGACAGGTTTTCTAGCGCAAATTACAGCCCTGTTAGGGGATGGGGGGGCAGTGGCACAGGTTGTGGTGAACTCAGTTAACCTCAGTAGGTGTGTCCTCTTTTAGCTTCACATGAAGTTTATATTTTGTGTGGAGAAAGTCCATGGAACACAGACAGTGGAGAGGCACTCTTCAGAGCATAGAGCAAGTAACTTCTGGGGTATTGTGGACAGAAAGAATGCTGTTAAAAGGTGTCAGTGGTGCAGCACCCTGGGCTTGGAATGCACTCAAGCTGGAAGCAACCAATCAATCTTCTTTTTTTCCCTCCACTGAAAAAATCAAAACCAAATATGTCGATCACATAACTCCCAGTACATACATGTACATGTGTGTACATGTTTGGATTTTTAGTCACATGATTTTTGACAGTCAGCATTCTATTTACAGATGAGCATGGAAACGTGCGTTTTCAAAAGTTCTCAACATTCTGGCGTGCACAAAATTGCCAATAGTAATACCCAGATTTGAAAATGCTCACGCCTCCATGTACATGGTGCGTATACACTTCATGCAATGCCTTGGCCTGTCAGTCCCAAGACCACTCTGCCTACACTGTATATGTACATACCATGTATGTGCACCATCATTTGCCATAAATTTCATAGTGATTGTGCGTGTACATATGCAACATAATGGTAACTTATATTTGCTTGTACTTTGTAGCAGTTGCTGGTATCAGTGATTGCCTCTTAACAGGTCTCTTGAACACTGGCTGAATTTTTGCATACAACAGTTCTCCTTGGATTGAAATAAGATTTTCTCCCAGATTCTATAATCTACTGGTCTTCCCAGCTGGTAAGTACCGTATTTCCGAAGGTCTAGGTTTCTGAACAAACTACAGTTTTCATTGCCTCTCATGAACACTTTATTTTTTGTATAATGGTGCAAAGATGGACTAAACAAAGGTTAAAAACAGTCAAATTAAACAGCAAGTACATGTACATGTACATGTATTCGGCATGTACCGGGTACACATACATGTACCAGTACATGCACTGTAAGGTGATCCAAAGTGAGGTCAAAACTTCAGGAATCTCAGTTTAAGCTCAGACATACGGTCCAATAAATCAAACAGCAATTTAGTGGCATATACAGAAACCAAGGACCTACAAATTGCTGTGTTTTAGAACATTTTAAAGCTTGTGGGATATTGTTTTGCTTCACTTGAGAACTTGGCCTAGAATACGACATTTGTTAAAATGCTCATCACCTGTGGGCATCCATTAGACATGGAAATCTGCACCAGTACTTAACAGGTAGCTTGCCCAGGTGACAACCTACCTCTTCCCAGGTTAGAAATCTCCTTCTTATAAACCATTAACCTAGATTCTGCCATTTGAAATCACATTTGCAGACCCTTGAATGTTTGCCTCTTAAAATTCTCAGACTCTCGCTGCCCCAGTTTGCTCGGCTGTCATCTAAAATTTGTTGCTGGACTTTCTAAACAGATTTTACTGAAATCCCAAGAACTTGTTGCTTCATGCGAATGCTGTTTATTTTCTTGTCTGTGATGTGACCGTCTGAGACCTGCTTCAAAGTTGTCATAAATAGCAGGGTGAAAGAAACTGTCAGGTCGACAGAAAAAGGGAGTTTCTAAAAGTTATCAGAAGTCAGAAAACATTTCTTTGTCATCTCAATGCATACAAGTAAATGACCAACGTGTTTAATGAACAGATCTACAATGTATGATCGTCATTTATTTCCAATCCTCGTCATTTACAAATGTGAGAAGACTAGAGTGGTCACTTGTGGAGTAATTTTACCATTGGATCTCACTTTTCTTCGTTCATTTCACAAATATCTCTTACTTTCTCATTACAATCTTGCTTACAAACATAATCCAGAGAGCAGATCCAGGAATATTTTTTTTGGGGGGGGTGGGAGATGTCGGAGGCCCCTAAGATTATTTTCAATGTCTGATTGTTGTGGATACGCAACATACATGTAGGTAATGTATTACATTGTTACTGATGTACATATAATAACCCTTAGTCCTTACAGGATGGCCTTTTTTTATATATCTCTGCTAGTTTAGTTATTCTCCTTTAGGGGCAGGTGTCAAAGTGGGAGGTTGATCCCACAACCCTCGTGTGGATCCCTGTCTGTGATCACTCTATACCAGCAGTATTGGCTGACAGCAATTTGGGTCAACCAAGACCTTTTTACCTTTCTGTATTTTCTCAGCCAAGGTGTGGGAGAATCTATATATCTGACATTTATAATGAACACAGATCTTGCCTTGAATGCTTAACCGGAGTGGCAAGGCTTTCAGTAATCAATAGAATCAAGGTTCTGAATCTCACAAGATAAAGTCTTGCCTCCAGATTACATGAAACAGGTGGAATATGTGACATGTCCCACAAGGCTACAACTTACAAGACTACTCTAACACCTTGCACAGGTGCAAAAGGGTCAGAAACTGCTGGAATGTGGCACCACTAAACATTTACAACGTTCCTTGTCCCAGACAAAATATTTACAAGTTGAACCAATGTACCCTGGTGTGTGAAAGATTGCAGAGGGAGAAGAAAGTCTAATATTATGGTTCAGCAAGATTTCTTCTGGGCCAGTCTTGAGGTGTGAACTTGAAGAGGGCTGGGGTTTTAAGCCAATGACTGCCTTGCATTTCAGTCATGGACTTTTGACTTTTATCTGGTATAGTAGTGTATAACAGTGAGAAAAACAGATATATACATGTACATGTACCCTTGGGCACTCACAGGACAAGCTAGACAGACAAACAAACACAAATTTGGAAGCCAAGTGGTTGGTTACTCCAACTATGAAAGCAAGCCAGCCTGAAACTGGTCTGGAGAAAAGTACACCCAGAGTACAAGAAGGGTCATGACAATCCCAAACCACAGGTGAACCCTGGCATACATATATGCTTCAGTCAAGAAGTCATAGTTCATTCAATTACAAATGGACACAGTAAAGCTGTGACTACAAAATGGACCAAAGATTAGGATCAAACTTTTCCTGTTACAAAGCAATTCTGACAATTCTGCAAAATAATATTATGTGCTTGCCAACAGGTACGGGGGTTGCCCTGACCATAAACTTGCACTGTAAGTTGGAGAGCCAATAAATATTCAATTTAACCGTCAGAGCAGTAAAATAGCACAGATCTTTTCCTAATCAAGTGGAAAGTGATGTACAGACTTCCTGCACTATATACTGTCTGTCAGAGGCCCTTCAGATCAGAATGCATTCTAATTACAAGCCACTACAAGTTTCCGACTGTAACATTAATTAACACGGATTGTTTTTAATCACCAGGAAATTGGCATTCCGGGGATGGGATCTACATCAGCCCATTCCAGGCATTCTAGTCATGATGACCGCAAGTGGAACTTTCCGACACATTT